GTTCTTGATGCAGTTAATTAACAATAGACTTTAAAAAGATTGGATCAGAATCAGCTGTTGCCAAAGCAGGACATTCAAATCAAAGAGAAGGAGTATTAGTAATTTGAACAGTGAAAGAGGTAGTAATTCTCCAATCTATCAGATAGCTTGAACTATATTAATTCTTGAGGTTGGTGTGTAGGTGTTACAACATTTGCAATCAAGAAGAACCAACTGGAACACTATTAGGATAACTTGTCAAATAACCACTATCGGCACTATCAACATCAGCAATTAATGTACCAAGATTGACACTAACAAGTATTTCTCTTCTGAGCAGGAGTAGAGTATTATTGGATTTGTAAAAGTGCCACCAACTGTTCATGCTATACATCAAGTTGAATCTTCCCTCCATGATTTGGTGAGGGAGAACCTTCTCTCTTCCATATTGTTCAATAATAGACGTGCGATATTAAACCAACAGCAAGTCATCAACATGATATTCTTATTTGAACCAAATCTTGTTGATGCATCAACATTACCTCAATTTGTTGAGCATTAGCTACTGCATCCTTAACAAGAATCCATGGTTTAACTTCATCAAATAATTGATTACACTTCTTTAAAATCTTTGTGGCTGCAAGATTGGCAAATCTCACTTCACATCTTTCTTCATAGGCATTTCTAACTTGTTCTTGTAAATCATTGAGTAATTCAATAAGTTCTTGAGTAGTTTGATTTGGATTTTGTTCGGCATTAGGGCAATCAAATTGAAGATTTCTGTATTGAATTTCTCCCTCTTCAGCATGGAATTTCTTATTAAAAGCTCTGGTCAATAAATTTCCGAAAATATCAGCCAATTCATTCAATAACAGGAAATCTAACGATACTGAAACTACTATCATTACTGAGTACAGCTTCACTCAATAAATAGTAACGTAACAAGTCATGTTCAACACTAGTTTGATTCAACAAATCATATGGTGATACAACATTGCCTAAACACTTGGACATTTTGACATCATTGACAAGCCAATATGAGTGAACAAGAGCCATCAAAAGCAGGCCAGTAAATACCATGGAATTTGAGAATGTCTTTTCCAATAATTTGGACAGTTGGTGGCCAATTGAGTGATTCATTAGCGAGAGTGGAACCAGCAGTAAGATAATTTGTCAAAGCATCAAGCCAAACATAAATTGTATGTTCCGAATCATCTAGAACTGGAACCAAATAAGTAGAATCATCAATATCAGAATCAGTTGCCAAACTAATGGCCTCAATAATGATTGAACATTAGCACCAGAGTAACTGAAATATCAGCAGCCTTGGTTGTTGTATGAATTTGTCAAGGCCTTTGTAGAGCTATCCAAACCATCTGTCAATATAATAGTACACACACTACTTCCAGTAAAATTTGAAGAAGCAAAATTAAGATCTTTGACAACTCCAGATGCAACTATAGAACAATCAATATCTGTGACAGAGATAGATGGTGGCAGATAATTTTACCTACTATAATTCCAACTTCATCACAAATTTCTTTCTCAATGCAGTAATATCAGTTGTTGACCAATTGATATTTCACCATAGTTATATCAGAAAAGTTCCCATCAGAAGGAATCTTTGATTAATTGATTGCTTGTATCCTAGATCATTTCTAGATATTCCTTTATCCAAAGGGGGTGGTCTTTTGTTTGGGTGGTGGTTGTTGGTCTTTGCTTTGGTGCGGGACTAGCATACAAAAGTGACCACTCTTCAAACCATAAACCATAATTAAACTTGTTCAAATGAAGATGAGTCGACCAGTTCTTCTTCAACAATATCAAAAAGTAGTATCTTGACCACCAGCACAACTAACATAGAAAGCACCAAGTTCTTCAGCATCCAACAAATACTTGGCAGTACAGATTTCTGGCTTTAGTGTCATAACTCCTGACAGTTTCTTTTTTAATGGTCGACAAAATTCAATTAGTTAGTGTACAACATCTTATCAGTGGCAAGATTCAATCCACAGTTATCCTTCTTGGATGGAAGTGGGATTGGGAGAGTTTGACAGAGTAATCCACAATGAAGCTCTAATCAAACAAATAATTTAAATCATTCATCTATCATAATAGAAAATCACTCACACTGATCTAATTACATTAATTCGAGTCAGTCAAGATGGTGTTTGGGTTCACGTTGATAGTACTAGATACAAGAACAAATATTCAATATTTGGAAGTGGATGAACATAATATTATTGTTATTGGAGAAGTAGAGAAGGAGGAAAGTACTAATAATAAGTTATGATGGCTCATCCAAAAACACCAATAACAAATAATGGCAACAAAACGTTAGTAAACAAGGTAGTACTATTCGTTGAAACGAATACGTAACCAGCCTTGTGTATGTGGTTGAAACAAACACCACAGGCAGAGCAATGTCCAATACCCATGTAAAATACCAGTACATCGCAGCACATCCTGGGGCAAAATTCTCAACCGATATTTTTTTTTTCGTGATTTTATTTAATATTAAATTTATTATGTAATAAAACATGATTGTCTTACATGTCTTCCATAATGTTAATGGCCATATCAAAAGCTTGAGTAGCAGCCTCATTATTATACGAAATAATATTTCCAGTTGAATTATTTCCGGATGGATTGTATTGACTTAAAACAGTAATTGCAATATGATTATTGCAATTATTGTTGCAAGGAGTGGATTCAGGGTTAGAGTGAATCAATTCTTCAGAAGATACTAAGGAACATGGTGGGTATGGTTGTTTCAAAAAGTTAATATATGATTGTGTTCTCCTTTCAACAAAATGAAATTTCATATCGAAATAGTTGCACAGCATTAACTTTTTCAATCTCGGTATCAAAAACTGAATTAACATTTGATCTTTAAATCCAGGAAACATTCGATCAAGATATGATTCTTTACCGCCATTATGAGAAGTATGAGACATAAATTCCTTATCATCAATATGAGCACTTTCAAAACCTTGAGTTTCGTATGGCTTGATAGTTTTGTAAAATTTCAATAAATCTGGCACATGATGAAATAAAATGTGTAAATACCAACTTTTTGGTTTCGTTGTGTATACAGTACAATACAGCTTCTCCATTTTACCCAAAAGAATGGATAATCTTTCTTGTTGATTCTCATTTAAAGGTTGGGAAATATCAAGCAGATTTGAAATACTACGAAATAATATCAGAAGGGTGTATTGACTACCACAAATATGACCTCTTAAGCATTTAAGGTTTTTAAATACGGATTTAACCATATTTCCAGTAAGATAGCACCTGTACATCACCCCTTTTTTGGTTTTGAGTTCACGAAGAGTGAATCTTTCCATGTGTTCCATTTTTTTCAAAATGCTAATAACCTTTCTGTTACTACTTAATAACATTATGGAATCAATTAGTAGTCTTTCAACAACTCTCTCTTTCATATGTAATAGACAAATTATTACTTTGGAGGGAGGAATTGAAAGTATACATCCTAATTCTGTTGCTAATCTAAGTTGATGACGTCTGTCACAAATGGTTGAAAGTGTCATACAGTAAGGACACATTTGTTTGAAAAGTAATCTACTGATTTTCATTAAGGAAAGTAAATCAGTAGTAACCCAAAAATCAACTTGATAAACAACTCCATCTACTTCAACACCCTGCTCTCGCATCGTTTCAATCATGAACTTTATCCCATCAGATATTGAACGAAGCTTTTCTTCGCCACCTCTCCATCCAGCAATTGGAAAAACATTTTCTCTTGATTTTGGATTTCCAAATGCTTTTGAATTAATTAATTGTAAAGCAAATGTCACCAATCCATCAGCCCCATCAAGATTTAAAAGATAAATGAATTTCTTTTTAAGAAGATCCAAATCTTCCTTCAAAATATAATCAGAGAGGTGTTTGTCTGCCTTAATTAACTTTACCCACCTTACATGGTATCGAATTGTCTCTTTTACCATATGTAAAATATTTACCAAAACCATATTTTCCTCTAAACTCACTCTAATATCAAAGTCTTCAATGGTTTTGATGTTTAAAATGGAATTTGCCTTACTCAATGTAGATTTACAAACAGTGCCACATTTAGAAATTTGTGTAAAACTTCCATAATTTACGTCAGACATTTTAGACTCTAATTTTGCATACGAATCCTTGATCATCTCCTTGGTCAAATAAAAGTCATTATTCCTTGGTTTTTTAGAAGATGATTCTACACCCGCTTCATGTCTTTCACCATTCTTCTCAACCTCTCTCTCCTCCAATAGTTTATCATATGCTTCCTCTTCATCATTCACATCCACCCAATCATTGTCATTATCTTCAATACCATTGTCTTGACTTTGATTGCCAATTAATTCATCTCTTTTTCGTTTCAATTGCTCATTAGAAGGTGTTTCATCATTCTCATCTTGTAACAATTCACTTTCTTTTGAATGTGTATTTTCTTGTGTTTGTACTGTTGGAGTTGATTTTGTTGAATTGATTCTTTCAATTGCAACACCATTATTGAACTCTGTAAAATCATCTGCACTATCTGATACATCTGACACTTCCATACCAGCATTCACACTTCTGACAATTAATGGCCTTTCCTTTTCAGACTTGGTGGAATACATAGTTACGTACGGGTCTAGCTGATGTAAAGGTTCTTTTAGGGTGGTTTGTTTGATTCTTGATAAAAGAACTTCCTTTAATGGAAAATTATTGAAAATGGAAATGAATTGGTCCTCAAAACAATTCATAAAAAAATGTAAAAAACTTTCAAAATTCAAATAACCATGATTGAACAACAACAACTCAAACCCAAATAAAAGTTTACCCAATGAACTTTTCGAGGAACTTTTTGCTTTGACATTGTTTACAATATTAGAAATATTTTTTTGATGGTTGCTGTTAATAACTGATTTACCACAAGTAACCAAATTACATCCTTTTACTGAACTATGTGCCATAAATTTGGCACAAGATTTGATGATTTGTTCATTTTCCAATCCAAAATGATATTTAACATCAAAAATAGCTGCATGATTACCAATAGTGCCAGTAGTTGTAATGA